AAGGGCCAAAATGCCGAGCTAACACGATCTCGGCGCAATAAGACTCGGTAACCTTTGAGGCACGGACGAACTTTAAAAGTGAACTATAAATCACTCCCAGAGCCTAAGGGCCAAAATGCCGGGCTAACACGATCTCGACGCAATCAGACCCAGTTGTCTTAAAGACATGGGCGAACTTCAAGTGAGGAGTGTAAGCAGCTCAGGCTCAAACCCCACCAAGAATAGCTTGTTCTAGTACGATGATCGAACTAGAGAAAAACCAACTAGCATATAGTTCGGGCACACGTGGTAATCACTTTATCGTGCACCATAAAGATGCCTAAAATGGTTTAAGGAACAGTTCAAGGAAACAATTATCGAGGAGTTCTACTTTGGGTACGTAGCTCTAATAGCTTGGGTGTTGAGATCGCCTTAGCAAAGATAAAGAGAGCACATCATACTTGGAAGAAAAAAGGGAGAACTTTCATTGTCACTTCAAAAAAAAAAAAGAGAGAAGAAAAATAACAAATGCGGTAACTGAGCTAAACAGCTCGGGAAAGTCTGACTATCACAGGGCACAACCGCCCAACCAAAGACTTGTGAAAGACCGGGTTTACGGCACCCGGAAGCCACCAGAAGTCCAGAGAAACACCGCCTCAGGGATCCGCCTCCTCATCCTCTGGAGAGTCAGGCTCCTCTTCCTCCGCTTGGTCCGCCGTCTCAGGAGACAGACCCTTCATGGTAATGCCGTCGAGGTTGAGTCCGGAGAACTTCCGAACCAGCCACCGACAAAGCTTAAACCCAGAGCGGTACGAACCCGAACCATACTCTGCCTGGAGGTCCTGAAATTCCTGGGAGTCTTTAAAATCCCAGACCGCTTTCTCTCGCTCAGCCTCCACCATCTGATCAAAGTTTTGAGTCCGATTTAGAAGAGTGGACTCCAAGTCCCGCACCTGCTGCCTGAGGAGCTCCCTCTCCACCGCAGTCCTCGACGATTCCTCCCTGTAACGCGTGCTCTCTTCAGAAAGCTGGGCGATTTGAGCCTCTTGGTCGTGGACGAGCAGCTCCTGAGACTCGCTCCCCTTGCGGGTGTGATGGAGCTCGCCCCGGATCCGGTCGAGCTCGCCTTGGAGCTTCTTGTTAGCAGCCCGCTGGTCGAGGGCGTCGACGCGATGGATGTGCGTCTAGAGAGCCATGGCATGGATGGTGGAATTCACCTACCGACGGAAAAGAAGATCAGAGGACAGCGGAAAAGGGCAAAACAAGAGAGAAAAAGGGAAAAAGGTCACTTACCACCATGCAATGGGCAGAGGCAAATGCGGAGAGGTCCCCGGGCTCCATATTCCCCCACTGAGCGACCTCATCATTAGTAATCGCCTTCCGGCTCCTCCGGTGAGCCACGAGGTAATCGTTCACCCCATTCCATTTCCCTACTGGGAACCGGAGGTAAGGGCGTGGCTGGAGGGG